AAATAATTTAATATAAAGTAGATAGTTGTAATCCCTTAGATCTTGACCTTCATGAGAAAAATGTTTTTTTTTGTTGGGTTGCCATTTAAAAAAATTAATATTTTTGTAGAACTCAAAAACAAAAAATAAAAATTTTGAAAAATTATATTTTTGATAAAACATCACATTTCTATAGAATTTTATAATTCATCAATTAGTTTTTTAAAAAAATGAATACTTTAAGCAAAAAACGTGATGTGATCTGAAAAGTACAGATTTTTTAGAAAGGGTTAATTACTAGGTTATTAAAATGTCTTGTCTCACGCCAAACCAATTTATTTATTCTTTCATTTATTGTGTGCAYTTCAAGATGACGAAAATACAAAGTTTAGTGTATTCGAGGATAAAAATTTATCCCAACTTTAATTTTTTATTGATCGATGCATATWTGGCATATATTGGAGCATATTTCTTAATARTTTGTGCATATTTTTGTGAAAATGCGCATATAATCCGAGCCTTACTCATTACTGACCTCCTCTCGACAGAAACAAAACGTTTTCTACCTCGCTATGTAATATACTATTTTTAGGATATTTTGGACATATTGCATATTTGGGGGCTATTCCACCATGAGACTTTAATCCACACATTTTTGGTRAAATTTTGTCCTAACGCTCCTCTTGTTTGTAGACTATTCCTAGATATATTTGCTGGTAAAACTACTCAGTTTTCAGCTGTAAGTATTCAGTTGCTAAGTAACAATTAACTAGTATCATAGCAACTAAACTAAAACGTGTTGTTGCCAGGTTACAAATCCAAGTCGACTTTGATTGACTATTTTTTAGGCAGATCTTTTGGTGTACTACAGTTATTGGCCGAGTGGCAACTCGATTTTCCAATTCAAACAGTATTTGCAAATTGCGAGTAGTAAAAAATTCCAGATGTACGATTTCGGTTTGATAAAAAATAAACAAATATATGGGTCTTTCAAGCCGCCAACTTATCCACTCAAAAATTTAAGATTGCCGGTGCATTTGTTTTATGGTGAAAATGATAGTTTGTACAGGAAGAAGAATTTGAAAAGATTGTTTAATGAGATTGGAAGTGAGGAAAAAACGGCACTTGCGGTTGGGTCCGATGTCGGAAAGCCTTTCGATCATATTGATTTTCTCTACTCTGAGAATTTGATCGAATTGCTTTACGAGAAGATGGCGCAGGTTTTGGTAGGGGGAGGGGGAGGGGGGTTACCAGGTGGACTGGAAGGCGCTGATGATGATGATGATGATGATGATGAAGACGAGGACGAGGGTGGTGGCGATGATGCTGATGAAAATGATCACCAAGGCGACGACGACGACAAAGATGACAAAAAGGAAAATGAGGACAAGAAAGATGACGACGACAAAGATAATTAAATAWMGTTMTTTGMTTGWAMTTTTTAAAAWWAAAKCTTATTGATTGATTTTTTTGTTTTTTTTTTCCTTTAATTCGCAAAAGCACAAAAACAGGCAATTAATGAAGGATATATTTCGGACAAGTGACGCAATATTTGTCCAAAATCCGAAAAAAATCAATAAGACTGTCRACYACGCGTCTCAACTGCATGCAATTAAGCCAATTTATTTATTTTCTTAACGAATCTGAAACGTTTTGCTACAATGTTTGCACAAATATAAAAAGATGATTTTATTTTTGACTGTCAAGGTTAGAATTTCTTTGCCTAATAAAACAAAGTCAAGTTTTCGCACTATCAGTAAAAGTAGTAAAGCAATAAACTTGACAATTTATGTTTTATTCAAATAATTGTGTTTAATGAGCTTATAGTCCACTATAGATAGGAGCACATTCAAGGATTGTTAAAAACAGTCACTAAAATGTGTTTACCAAAATGTTTACTTCTTGTCCTAATAACTCGCTTTATTTCAACTGGAGCCGAGATAAATCTCGAAAACAACGCTTGTTCGTCAATAGAGGCTTATCATGTTGCCCAAGTGAGCAAAAAGTGTTACTACAACCAGGATGTGTTATCAGATGTTGTGAGTATTTGATTTGTTTAATCAAAATTTTACAAAAATTTTAGCCCGGAATGGCAACTAGACATGGTTACAAATCCGAAACTTTTACAGTTACCACTAGTGATGGTTACATTTTAACCATTTTTCGCATTATTTCAAATATAACCGAACCGGTGAAGGGCCCTGTGTTTATCCAACACGGGATTTTGGGCACTTCGGCGTCATGGGTGGCCATTGGCAACAGATCTCTTGGTAATTAATAGTTTTTTGATTATACAGGGTGAATATAAAGTATAGAACCAAGCGGTTTTATTTTTAATCATTTGCCTCGAGAAAATAATAATTAATATAAATTAAAGTAATATAAAAAATGTCAGAACGAAATCTTGTTTTGTCTTTGAGTTATGCGATTTTTTTTGTCAAAATTTGCAATTTATGTGTAAAAAAGTTTTTGAAAAAAATAAATATAAAGCGGATAGTTGTAATCCTTAGAGTATAGCTTTTATGAGAAAAATGATTTTATAGGGGGTTGCCATTTAAAAAAAATATTTTTTTTG